TTTCTGTGACACATATTACATAGCTCTTCCCAAACGGGAGTGTCACTATTTCAGGGCTGTCTCTAACAGACTGAAGAGGAGATCATCAGAAGCAGGGACTGTGTCACATCCATTTCTTCAACATCAAAGGCAGGGCTTGGCACTCAATTCTGGTGAACCAAAGAATGATTAAGTAGAAGAATAACGGAGGTTAAGACTTGAAAACTAGATACATTTCAGAGCTAAAAAGGTCATTCCAAGCAAGTGCACTGATATGGACAAGTAGGAATGGTAAACCTGGGGGAGAGACAATGTCCTAAATGGAGAAGGGATATGCTGGTAAGCTTTCCCCTTCATGGACCACAGTCTTCCTGTGGCAAAGGGGCGTTGTAACTCAACGAAGCTCTAAGCCAAGCCATGCAGGGCCACCAAAGACGATGAGTTACAGTGAAGAGCTCTGACAAGTTGTGGTCCACTGGAGGAGGAAATGGCAATCCATTCCAGTACTCTTGCCTGGAAAACCCAAGGACAGGAGTACCTGTACGAAAGGCAAAAAGATATGACACTGGAAGATGAGCCCCCCAGGTGGGAAGGGGTCCTATATTCTACTGGGGAAGAACAGAGGGCAATTACCAATAGCTCCAGAAAGAATGAAGTGGCTGAGCCAACATGGGAACAACACTCAGCTATGGATGTGTGTGGTTGTAAAGTCTGCATAGGAACCTGGAATGTTAGGTCCATCAAGATAAATTGAATGAGGTCAAGCAGGAGATGGCAAGAGTGAACATCAACATCCTAGGAATCAGTGAACTAAAATGGATGGGAATGGACGAATTTAATTCAGATGACCATCTACAACTGTGGGCAAGAATCCCTCAGAAGAAACTGAGAAGCCCTCATGGTCAACAAGAGTCCAAAATGCATTACTTGGGTGCAATCTCAAAAACAACGAAGTAATCTCAGTTCGTATCCAAGGCAAACCATTCAACATCATAGTAACTCGAGTCTATGCCCCAACCACTGATGCTGAAGAAGCTGAAGCTGACCAGTTCTATGAAGACCTATGAGCTCCCCAGGTGGCTGAGATGGTAGAGAATCTGCCTGCAGTGCAGGAAACCCAGGACTGATCCCTGGGTCAGGAAGATCCCCTGAAGAAGGGAATGGCTACCCCCTCCAGTATTCTTGCCAAGAGAATTCCAAGGACAGAGGAGCTTCTAGAACGAACACCAAAAAAAAAAAAAAAAAAAAAGATGTCCTTTTCATCATAGGGGATTGGCATGCAAAAGTAGGAAGTCAAGACAAACCGAGAATAACAGGCAAGTTTGGCCACAGAGTAAAAATGAAGGAGGGCAAAGGCTAACAGAGTTCTGTCAAGAGAACATGCTGGTCATATCAAACACCCTTTTCCGATAACCCAGGAGACGACTCTACACATGGACATCACCAGATGATCAATGGCGAAATCAGACTGATTATGTTCTTTGCAGCCAATATGCAGACTCTGTATATAGTCAGCAAAAACAAGACTTGGGGCTGAATGTGGTTCAGATCATGAGCTCCTTACTGCAAAATTCAGGCTTAAACTGAAGAGAGCTGATAAAACCACCAGGCCTTTCACATATGACCTAAATCAAACCCCTTATACAATGGAGGAAATGAATAGATTCAAGGGATTAGATCTGGAGTGCCTGAAGAATTATGGACAGAGGTTTGTAACACTGTACAGAAGGCAGTGAACAAAACCATCCCAAAGAAAAACAAATGCAATAAGGCAAAGTAGCTGTCTGAGGAGGCTTTCTAAATGGCTGAGGAAAGAAGAGAAATGAAAGGCAAGGGACAAAGGGAAACATATACTCAACTGAATGCAGAGTTCCAGAGAATAGCAAGGAGGGACAAGAAGGCCTTAAGTGACCAATGCAAAGAAATAGAGGAAAACAACAGAATGGGAAAAACTAGAGATCTCTTCAAGAAAATTACAGATATCAAGGGAACATCTCATGCAAGGACTGGCATGATAAAGGACAGAAATGGTATGGACCTAACAGAAGCAGAAGAGATTAAGAAGAGGTGGCAAGAATACATAGAAGAACTATACAAAAAAGGTCATAATGACTAAGATAACTACAATGGTGTGGTCACTCACCTAGAGCCAGACATCCTGGAAGGTGAAGTCAAGTGGGCCTTAGGAAGGAAGCATCACTACAAACCAAGCTAGTGGAGGTGATGGAATTCCAGCTGAGCTATTTCAAATCCTGAAAGATGATGCTGTGAAAGTGCTGCACTCAATATGCCAGCAAATTTGGAAAACTTAGCAGTGGCCACAGGAGTGGAAAAGGTCAGTTTTCATTCCAATTCCAAAGAAAGGCAATGCCAAGGAATGTTCAAACTACTGTACAATTGCACTCATTTCATGTTAGTAAGGTAATACTCAAAATCCTTCAAGCTAGGCTTCAACAGCACCTGAACTGAGAACTTCCAGATGTACAAGCTGGGTTTCGAAGGGGCAGAGGAACCAGAGATGGAATTGTCACTGTTCTTTGGAACACGGAAGAAGCAAGGGAGTTCCAGAAAAACTTCTGCTTCACTGACTACAGTAAAGTCTTTGACTGTGGGTATCACGACAAATTGTGGAAAACTCTTAAAGAGATGGGATTACCAGACCACCTCAACTGTCTCCTGAGAAACTTGTATGTGGCTCAAAAAGCAACAGTTAGAACTGGATGTGGAACAACTGACATGCAAAATTAGGAAAGGAGTCCAAAAAGGCTGTATATTGTCACCTTGGTTATTTAACTTCTATGCAAAGTTCACCGTGTGAAATGCTGGGCTGGATGAAATAACAAGCTGGAATCAAGACTGTTGGAAGAAGTAGCAACAACCTCAGATACGCAGATGATGCCACTCTAATGGCAGAAAGCAAAGAGGAGCGAAAGAGCCTCCTGATGAGGGTGAAACAGGAGAGTGAAAACCCTGGCTTCAAATTCAACATTCAAAAAACTAAGATCATGGCATCTGGTCCCATCACTTCACAGCAAACAGAAGGGGGAAAAGTGGAAGCATTGACAGACTGGTATGTATAGTCAAAGCTATGGTTTTTCTAGTAGTCATGGTTTTTCTAGTAGGGATGTGACAGTTGGACCATAAAGCAGGCTGAGAGCTTAAGAATTCACACTTTCAAACTGTGGTGCTGGAGAAGACTCTTGAGAGTCCCCTGGACTGCAGAGAATTCAAACCAGTCAATCCTAAAGGAAATTAAGCCTGAATGGTCACTGGCGAACTGTTGCTGAAACTCCAGTACTTTGGCCACCTGATGTGAAGAGTGGACTCACTGGAAAAGACTCTGATGTTGGAAAAGATTGAAAGCAAAAGGAGAAGGGGGCAGCAGATGATGAAAGGGTTAGACAGCATTATGGAGTCAACGGACAAGAATCTTAGCAAACTCTGGGAGAGAGTGAAGGACAGAGGAGCCTGGCAGGCAACCATCCATGGAATCACAAAGAGCAGGATGCGACTTAGCAACTGATCAACAACAACATGCTGGTCCCCTTGGTCCAGACATGGACAGGTCAAGCTTATTCCCTGCGTGGAACTTTCTCTCAACTCAACCCAACCCTCACCATTCCATAAGGCTCACTCCATTTCACTGGGGTGTCGGCTCAAATATCACCTCATGAGAGGCTTTTCCTGACCAGCCTACCTAAAGTTCTCTAGTGTGCTCTAAATGCTTAGCCCCACTTTCTAGATCTTTTCTCTTGTTTTTCTTAGATTGCTGAAGAGATGCTCTAACGATTTTACTTATCTGTACCTGTATTAGGATCTGGACGGTCCCCTGAAGTAGGAAATGGCAACCCACTCCACTGTTTTGCCTGGAAAATTTCATGGACAGAGAAGCCTGACGGGTTACAGTCCATGGGGTTGAAAAGAGTCCGCACCTGAGCACACATGCATGTATCAGGATTGACTCACTTTAATTTCAAATCCAGTTTGTCAATTATTGAGATCAGGATCTAATTAAAAAATCCTGGAGCACATTTTCTTTTCCTTCTTAAAAAATATATACATTTTATTGTAAAAAGTCTGTGTTGACCACTCCTAAAACCTGTAATTTAAGCGACTTCCAACAAAACGTGGATGGATGCCACAGAGAACAGTATTTTCTTACAGGAAACAGGTACCAAGATCGTCCCAGAGGTAGGCAGGAAAGAATTTTATATTCCTCAATGGAGAAGATTCTAGGAATGGAGTAGTAATCCATAAACAAAACCCTCGAGATTAACCTTGATGAACTAGGGAGAAAAAGGTTCTAAATACCAAGACACTAGAGAGCACAGAGACTTCCCTAGTGGCTCAGAGGTTAAAGCGTCTGCCCGCAATGCGGGAGAACCGGGTTCGATCCCTGGGTTGGGAAGGAAACGGCAACCCACTCCAGTATTCTTGCCTGGAGAATCCCATAGATGGAAGAGCCTGGTGGGCTACAGTCGATGGGGTCACAAAGAGTCGGACAAGACTGAGCGACTTCACTTTCACTTTTAGAGAGCACAGACCGAAGTGAGACACGATAATGTTATGTCTATTTCAATAAGTGATTTTCACAAAGTTAATTACACAGGACGTCGCTGACCACAGGCAGCCTGGTGTGGCCGAAGCCACCCAGGTCAAGCGTCGTAGCCTGAGCCACGGGCATCACGGCACCTGCGTCTCCGGGGTGAAGTTTCCTTGCTCTGCCTTCCCCAGAGGGAAGTCGAAAAGTCTGTGAAACGGCCATCTGGATTCATGCTTTTTAAACCAGAGATATTCCGAAGAGCAAGGCAAAGGCGACCAGAAGTGGCTTCATGTTGCACTTGGTAAGAAACTACTGAACCTGGGGCCCAAAGACTTACATTAGCGGCGGCCGAGGGAGGGTCTAAGGGAGAGAAATGCACGCCCCAAAGGGAGTAGCCCCGAAGTCCCCACCTGGGGCCCCGCGGCAGCAGCGCAGGGTTTGCCCGCTCCCGCCGCTCCAGCGCGCGGGCGCGGGCGCCTCACCTGCAGGCTTGTCTGCAGCCATCTTCCCGCCTCGGCTCGGATTCTTCCCTGCAGGTGGCGTGGCCTTCACTCCAGCTGCCCAGCTGGCTGCTCTCCTGGACGTCGGAGGACGAGCCTGCGCCCACCCCGGCTCCGGGCCCCTGGGTTCCGGCCTGGGCAGTGGGCAGACGGCGGGCGAAGGAAGTGACGAAGGCTAGTTCGCGTCGTCTAGCAACAGCTACAGCAGCGTCCCCGGCCCCGGCGGCGCCACTACCTCCACTTACGCGCGGCTTCCGCCCCGCGGAGTCCCCTGACACATTACTTCCGGGCGCCGCGGCCGGCGTGGGAACTGCGCCTGGCCCCGCCCTACGCCAGCGTCCTCGGTGCCCCGCCCCCACGGCGTGAGCGCGCCGGCCGGCGTGCGCCCGCTCGCGCGTCTGCGCCTGTGCGGGACGGGCTGGGCTGAACAGGGTCCCTTGCGCTTATACTGGTAGCTATTGGTAAGTATGCGAATTCTTGTCCCTTGTTTCACGTGAAACCACAACTACACTTAATATCTATGTGTTAAGCATTGAGCCTTGCACTTGGCTTGTAGACCTGTAATAATTTCTCACAGCTTTGTGAGCAGGCACAGTTGCGGGTCCGTGTTTGAAAGCAAAATAAAACATTTTATTTTAGAAGTTTTAGATTTACAGAAAAATTGCAGATGATACTTGGAGCTCTTGTGTACTCCTCACCTTGTGAGGAGCTTGAATAATTTTTCGAGACATACCCTACTGAGGTACGTCTGTCATATGAGAAACCACCTCGGTTGGTATATTATTATTAACTAAATTCAGTGTTTTAAAAATTTTAAAAACTTTTTTTTTTTCAGCTAGTGCCCCTTTTCTGTTCCAGGATCTTGTCCAAGACGCCAGATTAAATTTATTCATGTATTCTTAGGCTTTTTTTTTGACTATGCCCCGCGGCTTGTGCGATGTTAGTTTCCCTCACCAGGTATCTAACCTAGGCGGGCATCCGATTCCTAATCGCTGGACCGCCAGGGAGTTCCCTCCTTAGGCTGTTCTTGACTGTGATGCTTCTCAGATTTTCCTTGTTCTTGATGACTGACAGCTTTGAAGAGTACTGGTCAGGACTTTTGAAGAATGGACCTGGATTTGGGTCTATACATTTTTTTCATGGTGAGACTAGGGTAATAGGTTTTAGGGAGAAAGACTACAAAAGTGGCTAGCCATTCATGTTGCTGCAAATGGCGTTATTTCATTCTTTTTAATGGCTGGATAGTATTCCATTGTTTATATAAACCACATCCTCTTCACATGCACATTTATTTTATATTGTGGTTATAACCAAATACTACATTATTTTGTTGCTCAAATTGTTTCAGCTTTGTTAATTGGGAGCTTTTTCAGGTTTATTCCATGTCCCTTTAACACGGTTGCCCATTAAAAAAAAAAACCCTTCTAATTCATGTTAACATATACACAGAGAAGTACACAAAGCATAAACACTGTTTTTTGAATTTTCGTCATTTCATCATATCCACATAGCCAGCACCCAGAGAAATGATGACACTACCCACCTGCGCAAGCCCCCTCGTGCCTCCTCCCATCCCCCCAATGAGGGTGATTCCTAACTGATGCTAACACCATTGATTATTCACCTGTTTTCAAACTTAATAAGAGTGGATCACAGCATATTTTCTTGAGAATCTGGCTTCTTTTGCTCCAGCTTACAAGATTCATCATGTTGTTGAGCAAAGTTAGTTTCTCACTGTTAATGTAATGTACCATTACGCAAATGTATCATAATTGAGGTATTCATTTATTGCTGATTAGTTGGGTATTTTGTCTATGCCTAATAAGGCCAATATGAATATTCTAGTATGTCTTTTGATGAATATGTTAGAACCCACATAAAAAGACACCTGAAGTGTTTATTGATCTTGCTGCTGTGAGGAGCCTCTCAATAAAAACGGGATTAGCAGGAAATTGATAGAATTTGGGCACTTGCTGGATGATTTTAAAGAGGGATTAGGGAAGTTGGTGGGTTTGCAGTTTGGAATTAGATGCATTCAGGAAGCAGACAATCAAGAGTTCCAGTGTCTTAGTTTTTATCCAGGAAGCAGGAGGATTAGAGCAAGGCTGGAGTTATCCTTGGTCAAGGGGCAGCATCACTCATGTCAGAAGGAGGTGTTCCATCCTTGTTGCTCTTGTGGAGGGCTTTGTTTCTGTCTTGTTGCCGCAACAGTCATGGTGTAAGCTTCTCTGAACATGTTCATATCCTGTGAGAGCTGTGTGTGTCCAGCTGGGAGTGTCCTGCTAGCAGAATTGTGTCTCACTTTCTTAGTCTCCAGGCTTGTCAGCAGAGCCAGTTTTCACTTGCTCCCCCCGTGGGTCCTTATCCATTTCACAGATCAGGAAAATGAGGCCCAGATGTTAACCCACTTTCCCAAGTAACAAGACTATAAGCAACTGTTATCTTAACCTCTGTATTCAGCTTTAAAGTTTCTGGAATTTGCCTGTATTGAAGACATCTCGGGTCTCTTTTCTCATCTTTCAGTATTGGCAGCTCTCCCTCATTTACAGAGAGGGAGAAGAGTTAATTCAGAAGTGGGAGATGGAGAATGTCAGTGGTCTCTGCTGTGTCACCAGCCATGACGAGTCCGTTCACGTCCAGTGAGTGATGATATGACTGTGTACCCACAGTGCCTCAAACCTGTGTGCTCCTTGTCACTTGTGGAAGCCTGTCTCCAAGGCTGGTTGCCAGCAGTTCCTCCCATGTGTTGCCATGTGTCCTCCAACAGACACATGCTGCTCTTCCCCCCGCTTGGAAGATTGCTTGGACCAACCGAATGCAGAAGTGATCCTGAGCCAATTTTGGCTTTAGCCCTTGAAAGGCATGGCAGTGTCCACTTTTCCTCTCTTGTACTCACCTGCCATCCTGCGAGGCTGTCCTGCTAAAGACTATGGGAAAGAGATCCAAGATGCCCCAACTGACAGCCAGCACCGAGGTTCCTGACATAGCAGTGAAGCCTTCTTGAACCTTCAACCCAGACCAGCTGCCAGGTCAATGCAGTCAGGTGAGTGATCCTAGCTCCCATCATATGAAGCAGAGAAACTGCTCAGTCAACCCCCAGAAGCGTGAAAAATAAGAAGTCATTGTTTTTGGGTATCTAATTTTTAAAAGTGAGATATAAGCACATACCATGCAATTTACCCTTTTATTGGATTGGCCAAAAAGTTCACTTAGTTTGAGTAAAAAAGGCACATTTTTATTCTCACCAAGACCCTTATTGAACAATGCATTATTAACTGAACAAACTTTTTGGCCCACCCAATAAAGTGTACAATTTCATGGTTTTTAGTATATTCACAAAGTTGTACCAACATTACCAATATCTGATTCTGTGTCAGACTGCCTAGGTAGAATTTTTTTTAGTGACTCAGTGGTTTCTTTTCCTTAAGGACATTTTCAATTTACAAGTGAAGAAAAAATATGTTAAATGTATTTTTATTACTCTCTGAAACATGAATTCTGGAAGATTATTACAACTATAAATATGGAAAAATTGAGTAATTAAAATTTAATCATGATGAGGAGAGATTTTAGAACATAGGGAAGTACAGAATATGCTATGATGTTTATTTATCACTCGTATTTGGCCAGTGTCAATGTTCGCCACATTTTCTTTTGAAAATCATCACTGGTATAGATAAGTTCAGTTTATATTCCCTTCCTGATTTTGTTTCCCTTACTCCTTTCTCAGAGGTAGCCACTGCTCTAAAGATGGTATGTGTCCCTGAAGTCCATGTTTAAAACATAATATACGCACAAAAAAATTTTATTTTCATTCATTCAACTTTATATAAACATCACACCGATAGGGCCACTATGAAACTATTTTAACCCACCGCTTTGTTTTTTAAGATTTAAATATCATCAGTTCAGTTCACTCAATCATGTCCAACTCTTTGCAACCCCATGGACTGCAGCACGCCAGGCTCCTCTGTCCATGGGATTCTCCAGGAAAGAATACTGGAGTGGGTTGCCATGCCCTCTTCCAGAGGATCTTCCGGATCCAGGGAGTGAACCTGCAAAGATATATATTCATAATGTATAATATTTGTACAAAATGTATCATAAACATGTAATATATACTTAAACAACATGTATAATTTATTTTAACTACTGTTCAATATTCCACCAAATCATTATCACTTAGGTATAGTTTGGTGGTATGATCCCTACATAAAAGTCTCATAAATGATAAAGGGCTTTCCTGGTGGTCCCTGTGGTTAAGACTCCATGCTTCCACTGCAGGGGGCTGCAGGAGATGTGGGTTTGATACCTGGTCAGGGAACTAGGATTATACATGCTACCCAGCGTGGCCAAAATTTTTTTAAAAAAACAGGAAAAGGCATTAATTATCTCACTGATGAGTAATCTGTAGGTAGACTATTCCAGTGGTAGGTCAGTGACTCACAATGTCAAGATGCAATCTGGCATCCCTGGGATTCTGTCTGTCTTCCTCTTGTGGTCCCAAGAGAGCTGCCGTAACTCTGAGCATCATACTCTTGCCTGTCTTGGTACCCAAAGCAGGAAGTGGACAAAGAGGGCAAAGCATTTTCCTTTTCTAGCTTTATTCTCTATCAAGTAGGTACCACGTTTCGTCAAACCCAAGATACTATCAATTTACTATTAAAAATAAAGAGCGCCAACAATTAACCTGACTTAATGCTTTCTTATCCCTTAGAATTTTTATTTGATGCTTATAAAGTACCTCTTTGAGACAAAAACATTAAATTTAAAAATATTATATATTACTCTTGAGCATACAAAACAAGAAAATAGAAATGATATAAGTTAGTTATGGCATTTTCAGAACATCTTCCCACCAGAGTTCCACTTTAAATTGCTTTTCAATTCAGTGCCTTCCCTGTCTGTCTTCTTCTCCAAGACATCACTCTCTGTGCTCCCAGGAACACAAGCAGGACAGCCGTCTCCTCACAGAATCACCACAGTTAACTCGAGGAGTCCCATTCTGTAGGTTTTAGTTCTGATACTTTCTGGCTCTCCCCAGAAGATGTCACAAACCAGTAGGCTTTTGGATCAAGTTTGCACACACGTGGGGAATGACACACCACAGCAATCCTCTGACAGATTGGTTGTGAGAAGCCTGCCGATTTCAGAAATGAAAGAATGTGTCTCAAAATCAACGCAGTAGTGAATTGTCCCCAGAAGCCTCTCACCAAAATCTTCCCTTCGTTCTCCTTGTTCAAATCGGTTGCCTGCCCACCGCTGGATCAGTTACTGGCAAAAGAGATTCCAATGTGTGCCTTGGGTTCATTGTGATGCATCCACAGAACACTGATGTGGGGGATCAATAAAATCAGGTTTTCATTAAGTAGGAGGAGCAGGAAATGACTGCCGACAGGACCGTCTCATCACGATAGCTGATTTGTCTCTTATGGACAAGACTCTTAAGTCATTTCCAGTTTTCATTTTATTGGGAGAACCTGAATGAACCTTTTGGCTAACCCAAAAAGTACAACCAAAAAATTAGAAATAGAGCCACAGAGCCCACTCTTGCCCGTGTGCACGATTGTGAGAGTTTCTCTAGGCTGCACACTGTAAGATGGAGTTTTGCTGAGAATGTAACAAATTCTGTGTGTCCACCCCAGCTTCATCTCATCATGGACTTGTTTTGTTTACTCTTTTCCTCTTCTGATGTTTTGCTGCTGGAATATTTTAAAGCAAGACCCAGACATCGTACCCATTCACTTCTAAACACTTCAGCATGCAACCTCGAAAGGAATATCCAAATACTTTCTTGCCTAACCACAATGCCATTATCCCATCTAACAAAATTTCAAATAATTCCTTAATATTCAATTACCAAGCTGTGCTCGAATTTCCTCTATTGTAGAAAAATACTCTTTATAATTTCTGTTTAAAATCAGGATCAAACAAGATCCCTTTTATTTCGTTCTGTCTCTTGTGTTTCTTATAAGGCTTTTAAGTCTTATGTTTCTCTTAATCTAGAGCAGTTTCCTCCCCTTTTTTCTTTCATTGACTGGTTGATGAAATTAGAGTCCAATATAAGATCCCTCCTTTGAGATCTGGTGTATTGCTTCTTTTATGGTCAGTATTTCCTGTGCCATAGAGATCACTTTTGTAATTTTTAGATTTTTATTTATTTATTTTTGGCTGTGCTGGGCCTTCATTGCTGCTCAGGCTTTTCTCTGGTTGTGGCGAGCGGGGGCTACTCTCTAAGTGTGGTGTGCAGGCTTCTCATCGGGGCTTTCCAGGTGCCGCTAGTGGTAGACAGCCCATTTGCCAATGCAGGAGACATAAAAGGCGCTGTTTCAATCCAGGGGAGATCCCCTGGAGGACGGCATGGCAGCCCACTCCAGTATTCTTGCCCGGAGAATCCCGTGGACAGAGGAGCCTGGCAGACTACCGTCCATCGGGTCACACAGAGTCGGACACGACTGACGCGGCATTGCAGTGGCTTCCCTTGTTGTGGAGTGTGGGCTCCAGGGCACTTGGGCTTCAGTGGTTGTGGCTCCTGAGCTCTAGAGCATAGGCTCAGTAGTGGTGCACGAGCTGAGCTGCTCCGGGGCATGTGGGGTCTTCCCAGTTCAAGGACTCAACCTGTCACCTGCCCTGGCAGGTGGGTGCTTTACCACTGAGCCACCTTCCCTGGCAGCTGACCTGAGATCAGTTTTAAAGGCTTGATTATATTATGGACAATATTAAGAAGAGGTGGCAAGGATACACAGAGCTGTACAAAAAAGACCTTCACGACCCAGATAATCACAATGGTGTGATCACTCACCTAGAGCCAGACATCCTGGAAGGTGAAGTCAAGTGGGTCTTAGGAAGCATTGCCACGAACAAAGCTAGTGGAGGTGATGGAATTCCAGTTGAGCTACTTCAGATCCTGAAAGATGATGCTGTGAAAGTGCTGCACTGAATATGTCAGCAATTTTGGAAAACTCAGCAGTGGCCACTGGACTGGAAAAGGTCAGTTTTCATTCCAGTCCCAAAGAAAGGCAGTGCCAAAGAATGCTCAGACTACCGCACAATTGCACTCATCTCACACGCTAGTAAAGTAATGCTCAAAATTCTCCAAGCCAGGCTTCAGCAATAAGTGAACCACGAACTTCCTGATGTTCAAGCTGGTTTTAGAAAAGGCAGAGGAACCAGAGATCAAATTGCCAGCATCTGCTGGATCATCGAAAAAGCAAGAGAGTTCCAGAAAAACATCTATTTCTGCTTTATTAACTACAGCAAAGCCTTTGACTGTGTGGATCACAATAAACTGTGGAAAATTCTTCAAGAGATGGGAATAGCAGACCACCTGACCTGCCTCTTGAGAAACCTGTATGCAGGTCAGGAAGCAACAGTTAGAACTGGACATGGAACAACAGACTGGTTCCAAATCAGGAAAGGAGTACGTCAGGGCTGTATATTGTCACCCTGTTTATTTAACTTATATGCAGAGTACATCATGAGAAATGCTGGGCTGGATGAAGCACAAGCTGGAATCAAGATTGCCGGGAGAAATATCAATAACCTCAGATATGCAGATGACACCACCCTTATGGCAGAAACTGAAGAAGAAGTAAAGAGCCTCTTGATGAAAGTGAAAGAGGAGAGTGAAAAAGTTGGCTTAAAGCTTAACATTCAGAAAACTAAGATCATGGCATCTGGTCCCATCACTTCATGGCAAATAGATAGGGAAACAGTGCAAACAGTGGCTGGCTTTATTTCTTGGGGCTCCAAAATCACTGCAGATGGTGACAAAGCAGAGGCATTACTTTGTCAACAAAGGTCTATCTCGTCAAGGCTATGGTTTTCCAGTGGTCATGTATGGATGTGAGAGTTGGACTGTGAAGAAAGCTGAGCGCCGAAGAATTGATGCTTTTGAACTGTGGTGTTGGAGAAGACTCTTGAGAGTCCCTTGGACTGTGAGGAGATCCAACCAGTCCATCCTAAAGGAGGTCAGTCCTGGGTGTTCATTGGAAGGACTGATGCTGAAGCTGAAACTCCAATACTTTGGCTACCTCATGGGAAGAGCTGACTCACTGGAAAAGACCCTGATGCTGGGAGGGATTGGGGGCAGGAGGAGAAGGGGACGACAGAGGATGAGATGGCTGGATGACATCACTGACTCGATGGACATGGGTTTGGGTAAACTCTGGGAGTTGGTGATGGACAGGGAGGCCTGGCATGCTGCGGTTCATGGTGTTGCAAAGAGTCGGACACGACAGTGATTGAACTGAACTGAACTGTATTATGGTTCAGTTTTTTTTTTTCCCTTGAAAATCCTTCCTGGGTGGTGCTGTGTACTTTCTGCATCACTGTCTGGAGGTATATGATATTTGCCATCTCATTTAAAAGAATTTTTATTTCTTTTGGGTTGCTCTGGGTCTGCGTTGCTGCAGGTGGCTTTCTGTAGTTGCAGTGACTGGGACTGCTCCCTAGTTGCGGTGCACAGGCTTCTTATTGTGGTGGCTTTTCTTGTGGAGCACGGGCCCTGGGGTGTGGCTCAGCAGTTGTGGTGCATGGGCTTGGTTACCCCACAGTATGTGGAGTCATCTTGGACCAGGGATAGAACCCATGTCCCCTGCCTTGGCAGGTGGATTCTTAGCCACTACCACCAGGGAAGTCTCTCATTTTTTAAAAATGTGTATTTTAGTTTAGTTCAGTTTAGTTTAGGTTTTGGCCATACTGTGTGGCATGTGTGATCTTAGTTCCCTGACTAGGGATCGAACCTGCATCCTCTGCATTGGAAGTGCAGAGTCGTAACCACTGGGTAACCAGCGAAGTCCCTACTATCTCATTTGTGTGTGTGTGTGTGTCTGTGATATTAAGATTGATCCTACCTAGTCTTGTAGAATCTGACTGAGCCTACCCAGTCTGTGATGACCTAGAGGGGTGGGAGGGGGAGAGGGAGGCTCAAGAGAAAGGGGGTATATGTATAATTATGGCTGATTTGTGTTATTGTACAGCAGAAATCAATACAAGATTGTAAAGTGATTTTTGTCCAATTAAAAAATAAATTAAAAAAAAATATTGATCCTAGGGAGTTCCTTGGTAGTCCAGCCATTAGGACTCCAAGCTTACTGTCAAGGGCCTGGGTTTGATTCCTGGTTGGGGAAATAAGATCTTACAAGCCTTGCAGCATGGCCAAAAAATTTTTTAAAAGATTGTTCCTTGGGTTTGTATAGTGCCAGTCTGATCTTTATACATTTCCTGTCAGCCTTTTCCCTAATGATTTCAGAAGTGCTAGTGACCACCGTGTTAATCAGTTATTTCGCTAATAGTTGAAACAATTTACACATTTTGACACTCCTGCATCTCTTAACTAGACTAAGGGCTGAGAGTCCCCATAGATTTCACACGCTAGGATCTTCCTCGCCTTTCCCTAGTCCTAGGCCTGGCTAGAATTCTTCCTCACTGAAAACCTTTCCCTTGTCCACAGAGATATTTTGTTACACTGAAATTCAGTGTATATCAGAAAGGCAGGAAGAATGCGTAGTTCTCTATGATTATCAATTTCCCAAGGAATCAGTTGATGTCCCAGCAATCTCTATGGCTATTTCTTTTTTAAAAAATTATTCAAAATTCATTTTTTATATGTTCAGTATATTTTAATCAACTGCATGCCTTCATATTCTTGAAATCAAAATTATTCCATGTGTGCCCATGGGAGCACACAGCCCTGATAATTGTCCATTATTATACCTCTACTGTGGCTCAGTGGTAGAGAACCCGCTTGCCAATGCAGGAGACTGCTGCTGCTGCTGCTGCTGCTGCTGCTAAGTCGCTTCAGTCGTGTCCGACTCTGTGCGACCCCACAGATGGCAGCCCAACAGGCTCCCCCGTCCCTGGGATTCTCCAGCAAGAACACTGGAGTGGGTTGTCATTGCCTTCTCCAATGCAGGAAAGTGAAAAGTGAAAGTGAAGTCGCTCAGTCAGCAGGAGACTCAGGAGATGCCAATTCAATCCCTGGATTGGGAAGATTCCCTGGAAGAGGAAATGGCAACCGAACTCTAGTTTTCTTGCCTGGAGAGTCCTATGGACGGAGGAGCCCGGAGGGCTACAGTCCATAGGGTCGAAAAGTGTCAGACACAACTTAGCAACTAAGTATGAAGCAGAGTGTTAAGCAGAACTGTGCTCTTAATCCCCAGTTTAGCTGTTGCCATTGTGTACATGTTTTAGATACACCTTTATGTTCATCCAAGGCCAAATTTCCCTGTTACTCCGGGTGTTTCTTGACTTCCTACTTTTGCATTCCAGTCCCCTATAATGAAAAGGATGTCTTTTTTGGGTGTTAGTTCTAAAAGGTCTTGTAGGTCTTCATAGAACTGTTCAACTTCAGTTTCTCCAGCATTACTGGTTGGGGCATAGGCTTGGATTACCGTGATATTGGATGGTTTGCCTTGGAAACCAACAGAGATCATTCTGTCATTTTTGAGATTGCATCCAAGTACTGCATTTCAGACTCTTTTGTTGACCATGATGGCTACTCCATTTCTTCTAAGGGATTCCTGCCCACAGTAGTAGATATAATGGTCATCTGAGTTGAATTCACCCATTCCAGTCCATTTTAGTTCGCTGATTCCTAGAATGTCGACATTCACTCTTGCCATCTCCTGTTTGACCACTTCCAATTTGCCTTGATTCATGGACCCAACATTCCAGGTTCCTATGCAATATTGCTCTTTATAGCATCGGACCTTGCTTCTATCACCAGTCACATCCACACCTGGGTATTGTTTTTGCTTTGGCTCCATCCCTTCATTCTTCCTGGAGTTATTTCTCCCCTGGTCTCCAGTAGCATATTGGGCGCCTAACGACCTGGGGAGTTCCTCTTTCAGTTCCTCTTTCCTATCATTTTGCCTTTTCATACTGTTCATGGGGTTCTCAAGGCAAGAACACTGAAGTGGTTTGCCATTCCCTTCTCCAGTGGACCATATTCTGTCAGACCTCCCCACCATGACCCGTCTGTCTTGGGTGGCCCCACACGGCATGGCTTAGTTTCATTGAGTTAGACACGGCTGTGGGCCTGTGGTCAGATTGGCTAGTTTTCTGTGATTATGGTTTTAGTGTGCCTGCCCTTTGATGTTCTTTTGTAACACCTACCGTCTTACTTGGGTTTCTCTTACCTTGGATGTGGGGTCTCTCTTCACGGCTGCTCCAGCAAAGCACAGCCGCTGCTCCTTACCTTTGAGGAGGACTGTCTCCTCACGGCCACCCCTCCTGACCTTGAACGTGGAGTAGCTCCTCTCTGCCCTCCTGAGCCTGCACAGCCGCCGCTCCTTGGACGTGGGGTAGCCTCTCTCGGCGGATGCCCCTGGCCTCAGGCATGTGGTAGCTCCTCTTGGCCACCACCCCTGACCTGGGGCGTGGGGTAGTTCGTCCCCAAAGGCTAATAGAGTTTTTCCAAGAGGACATACTGGTCATAGCAAACACCCTCTTCCAACAACACAAGAGAAGACTACACATGGACATCACCAGATGCTCAACACTGAAATCAGGTTGATTATATTCTTTGCAGCCAAAGATGGAGAAGCTCTATACAGTCAGCAAAAACAAGATCAGGAGCTGACTGTGGCTCAGATCATGAACTCCTTAATGCCAAATTCAGACTTAAACTGAAGAAAGTAGGGAAAACCACTAGACCATTCAGGTATTACCTAAATCAAATCCCTTATGATTATACAGTGGAAGTGAGAAATAGATTTAAGGGACTAGATCTGATAGACAGAGTGCCTGATGAACTATGGACGGAGGTTCATGACATTGTACAAGAGACAGGGATCAAGACAATCCCCATGGAAAAGAAATGAAAAAAGGCAAAATGGTTGTCTGAGGAGGCCTTACAAAAAGCTGTAAAAAGAAGAGAAGCGAAAAGCAAAGGAGAAAACCGAAGATATTCCCATTTGAATGCAGAGTTCCAAAGAATAGCAATGAGAGTTAAGAAAGCCTTCCTCAGCGATCAGTGCAAAGAAATAAAGGAAAACAACAGAATGGGAAAGACTAGAGATCTCTTCAAGAAAATTAGAGATACCAAGGGAACATTTCATGGCAAGGATGGGTTCAATAAAGGACAGAAATGGTATGGAACTAACAGAAGCAGAAGATATTAAGAAGAGGTGGCAAGAATACACTGAAGAACTGTACAAAAAAGATCATCACAACCCAGATAGTCACGATGGTGTGATCACTCACCTAGAGCCAGACATCCTGGAATGTGAAGTCAAGTGGGCCTTGGGAAGCATTACTACGAACAAAGCTAATGGAGGTGATGGAATTCCTGTTGAGCTATTTCAAATCCTAAAAGATGATGCTGTGAAAGTGCTGCACTCAATATGCCAGCAAATTTGGAAAACTCAGCAGTGGCCACAGGAGTGGAAAAGGTCAGTTTTCATTCCAATCCCAAAGAAAGGCAATGTCAAAGAATGCTCAAACTACCACACAGTTGCACTCATCTCACATGCTAGTAAAGTAATGCTCAAAATTCTCCAAGACAGGCTTCATCAATATGTGAACCGTGAACTTCCAGCTGTTCAAGCTGGTTTTAGAAAAGGCAGAGGAACCAGAGATCAAATTGCCAGCATCTGCTGGATCATCGAAAAAGCAAGAGAGTTCCAGAAAAACATCTATTTCTGCTTTATTGACAATGCCAAAGCCTTTGATTGTGTGGATCACAATAAACTGTGGAAAATTCTGAAGGAGATGGGAATACCAGACCACCTGACCTGCCTCTTGAGAAACCTGTATGCAGGTCAGGAAGGAACAGTTAAAACTGGACATGGAACAGACTGGTTCCAAATAGGAAAAGGAGTGTGTCAAGGCTGTATATTGTCACTCTGCTTATTTAACTTATATGCAGAGTACATCATGAGAAATGCTGGGCTGGATGAAGCACAAGCTGGAATCAAGATTGTCGGGAGAAATATCAATAACCTCAGATATGCAGATGACACCACCCTCATGGCAGAAAGTGAAGAGGAACTAAAAAGCCTCTCAATGAAAGTGAAAGAGGAGAGTGAAAAAGTTGGCTTAAAGCTCAACATTCAGAAAACTAAGATCATGGCATCTGGTCCCATCACTTCATGGGAAATAGATGGGAAACAGTGGAAGCAGTGTCAGACTTTTATTTTTTGGGGCTCCAAAATCACTGCAGATAGTGATTACAGCCGTGAAATTAAAAGATGCTTACTCCTTGGAAGGAAAGTTATGACCAACCTAGATAGCATATTAAAGACATTACTTTGCCAACAAAGGTCTGTCTAGTCAAGGCTATGGTTTTTCTAGTGGTCATGTATGGATGTGAGAGCTGGACTGTGAAGAAAGCTGAGTACCAAAGGATTGATGCTTTTGAACTGTGGTGTTGGAGAAGACTCTTGAGAGTCCCTTGGACTGCAAGGAGATCCAACCAGTCCATCCTAAAGAGATCAGTTCTGGCTATTCATTGGAAGGACTGATGCTGAAACTGAAACTCCAATATTTTGACCACCTCATGTGAAGAGTTGACTCATTGAAAAAGACCTTTATGCTTAGGAGGGGTTGGGGGCAGGAGGAGAAGGGGACGACAGAGGATGAGATGGCTGGATGGCATCACCGACTGGACGGAAATGAGTTTGAGTAAACTCCGGGAGTTGGTGATGGTAGGGAGTCCTGGCATGCTGTGATTCATGGAGTCACAAAGAGTCAGATATGACTGAGTGACTGAAATGAACTGAACTGAAGTGATGTTCATCAGTTTCTTTGCTTATCCTTGCTTCTTTTTTTTCAAGTATCTATATTGAGATATAATTAATGTACCATACAACCCATCTATTTATTTATTTTATTATTTTTTTAAATATTTATTTTTATTTATCTGACTGCATTGGGTCTTAGTTATAGCATGCGGGATGTTCAAGCTTCACTGCAGCCCATGGGATCTTTATTTGAGGCATGTGAACTCTTAGCTCTGGCATGTAGGATCTAGTTCCCTGACCAGGAATCGATCTCAGGCCCCCTCCATTGGGAGCACCATTGGAGAGTCTTAGCCACTGGACCACCAGGGAAGTCCCACAATTCTATTTAAAGTGCATGGTTTGGTGGTTTTTAATATATTCACAAAGTTGTGCGATCACCCCCGCATTCTAATTCTAGAACATTTTCATCATATTCAAAAGAAGCCCTGTACCCTTTACTAGCCATTCTCAGTTCCTCCCAACCCACGTTACCATGGTTCTAGAACAAGAAGCCACCCTGCGGATGTAGCCCTCGTCTCACCTGCACTGCCCCATCCCAGTGTCCTCTCTTTTTTACCCTTTTCCAGCCACTTACCCCTGGTAATC